TCAATCCTTAAATTACACCCTCTTGGCCCTCATTTATTTGTTTGTATTTTGTGTTTCTTCATTTATTCAACCATTCTTTCATTTGTGCTTTACAATAAACTTAATCACTTCCATTTTGTTGTTGTTGCTGCTGTATTTGTTATAAACATGTTTATATGATGCAGTTGTAGGCAGATATTAAGGAATGTATTCATCCTTTGAGAATTGTTCTATATGAAAATACATGATTCGGATAGCAATAATAGAAGTTGTAGAAAGTAACCGATTTTTGGTTTAGAACTTGTTTATTAAAAAGCTTTTATTGCTTTTATTTCTATGTTGTAATTCCCAAAGGTATTATCGAAGGTTAGGTAAAAGTGGAGCCTTTTCTAAAAAAAACTTCTATTTTAAGGAGCAATGAAAAATCAACATTTCACAGTCATGTTTCATTTCTTAATCAACTATATGTATTCATTTTATGTCAGTTCCGCAATGTCGAAATACTAATGAGTCGAAAAAATGCATTAAAGCTGTTCGGGAAAACTTCTATTATAGTTGTTCATAAAAATTCTTGGTTTTTATTAGAAAAGTTGCTGATTTTTAAAAGGAACATTTTCAAGGAATACTCTAGACCAAAAGAAAACAGAAAGAAACAAAACCAGTAAACTTTCCAGCTGGTTTTGTTTCCTTCACATCTGTGACCTTTCATAAACTAGGAAGGTAATGGGTTTAAATCCAGTATAGACAAAGAGTGAGAAATGAGCTTTCTGGCTGGTTTTGTTTTTCTATACATGTTAGAGCCTTTCATGCTTCTGAAAACTAGAAAGCAACAGATCTCAAATAGAGAACGATTTGCCTAACTCTATCTAAGATTAAAAGCTTACTGTTTTTGGTTAATTAGTTCGAAAGGAGCATGTATATGTACAGTAGTTTTTCGATTTAACGAACCTATATGTTGTCAGGCCTGTTCGTTAAATCGAAAAGTTCGTTATATGCAGTTCTAACTCGAAAGTAACTTTTGGGTACATAAATAATTAAAATTACATAAAATCTAATATATAAAAATATGTTCCATGTATTTTATAAGAATTTTATGAAAAACTAGCAATTTATATCACAATGTAAAAACAATAAAGAAATTTGAAAAAACTCAGTTTATTTCGTATAACTAATCTACGTTCTGGAAAAGCACTCGGACGACATAATTCTTAAAGAAGCTTAAACCCAATTAGGAAATAGATTAATGTAAAGTTATTAAAGCGTTTCATTGTTTCACAGTTTCATTGTTTTCATTCTTTGAAATATCTGAACCCAAAGTTGTATAAAATATTTTTTCCTTTATTTCACAGCTATTCCTGTAAATATCCTTTTTCCAAAAGAAAAACTATTTATATTGTTTATTCTATAACATATCGTTTCTTACAATTTCTTAGAATTGATTTTTATTGGAAAAAATTATGGTCACAGTGGGGACTTGTTAGTTTGGCGAAAAATAAAAGCGAAATGTTAAGGTATACGATTGGCAAAGTCTTTATTTTGAACACCAATTTCTATGTTTTCAAATTCTGAGGCCAAATTCGGGTTGAGCACGAGCTTCTAGAAAAGTATACTTTGGCCTCTCTAAACATTTTTTGTTCCGATTTTCTAATTCGATCAACATTAGTTTTTGCGACATTAAGGATTGTAGATTTGATTATCTCATATTTTTGTATAAATCTTTAATAAAAAATCTCAGATTATCTAGATTCTTCATTTTACTAAATTAGAAAAAATCAACTCTCGAAATCCATATTCGAAAGCAATGGAAAAGTAAATACCCCTCCTAATAACGTCAAAGCTTTCCTGACATGATTTTTAGTTATTTTTGTTAATTTAACTCTAATTTAAATTATTTTATTTATATTTGTTCGTTAAACTGAGTACAAAAAATATTTTTGTTCGTTATGTAAGGTACTCAATGCAAAAATATTGATATTTCGCTAAATGCGATGTTCGTAGAAACGAATGTTCGTTAAATCGGAAAACTACTGTATATATGTATGTCTTCATATCCGAAAACATACATCCAGATCTTTATCAGGCTTGTTGTTAGCCCTCTTACCAGTACCTCAGGTGGGAATCGAACCCACAACCTCCGGTCTAGCAGAATAGAACACTAACCTACCGGAGGTTGAGAATTTGTATTGTGATGTTGTAAATTCCGAAATCATATTCATTTCTTAATCCTCTTTTTGCTTCTTAGTGCTCTTGATCAATTATCAATTTTCTAAAATTGCATATGCTCTATTATCTAAGTCTCTCACTGAACAAAACGAAGAAGGAACTTAACTTTTAATTTTTCCCAATCACTTCGTTTAGTTACTTTTTAAGAGCGAATGATGTGAAACTGCTTGTGAATTTCTTTACTTAAACAACCGCAACTCATAGATTTGACCATAAATTTGATCGGTTGAAAACTACCAAACTTATAGTTTTCGAGTTAAAACTTCAAAATTGGTGCTTTTACGCATCTTTTGCTCTTAACGAGGTGATAGAGGAAAACTAAAAATATATTCGTACTATGGACTATCATAATCGACTCAGAATCACTTTCTAAGTCGATTTAACTATGTCCGTTCGTCTGTATGATCATATAAACCTTGTGCGCATGGTACAGGTAATGAAAATTTTATGATATTTGGCGTAAACACTTCACCCATTGACGAAGCCTATTGAAAATGATTAAAATCGGTACCCAATACAGCCGTACCCCCGGATAGTAATTTTGAGCTCATTAATATGTTAAATGTTCTTTTATTTCTCCAAAAAATAGTCCAAATTTAGTTTTATATAAGTCTAAAATGATCGGGACTCATTTGACCCAAGTCCTTATATGTTTATGTGATGTTTATATAGGTAACAAATGAAAGCTGGAAAAGGCTGTTGCATGGCGTAGTCGGGATTTCATTAACACTCATCAAGCTCGAAACCCAGTGGCATTTTCGTTATTTTATATCGTTTTAAATATGACAAAAATAGTGGTTTTGCAACTTTAGGGCATGATATCTCAAAAAACTGATGTGAAGATGAAATTCTGAGACCAGATACGAATTAAGCACACCTAAACTCTTTCGTAAATTATACACAATTTGATTTTTGGGTTAAAAATTTGTTGGGCTGTCCAATTGAAATGTGGATTAATATAGTGTATATGATTAGTGTTTATGCAATTATGGGAATTTTCCTTCGACTTTATGTTTTTATACCCTACACCACTTTAGTGGGGAGGGTATATTGGGTTTGTGCTGATGTTTGTAACGCACAATAATATTGATTCTATATACCAACCTTAAATTAGACCAATCGGCTTAAAATCATTTTCTGAGACGTCCCAGGGACGAAGCCTATTGAAAATGGTTAAGATCGGTCTATTATTTCACCTAGCCCCCATACAACTGAACCCCTGAAAAGGGCTTGTAAACTTTATAATCAAACTACAGTTCGCAATTTTGAAGATAATTCAATGAAATTTGATACATGATCTTATATTGTACCAGAGACGAAGCCTATTAAAATTGGTTAACATCGGTTCATTATTTCACCTAGCGCCCATACAACTGAACCCACCGAATAGGGCTTTTAGGTTCATAATTATGTTTAATATACTCCTATCTCGATAAAAAGCTGAAAAATCAAGTTCAATACTAGTCTTGATGAACCTCATGATTTTTTTAATTATAGTGCCTCATTTGACCTCATTTTATAATTATAGCTCCTATACAAAGCCCTTTTCAAAATATGACTTAAACATCCACAATTTTATTCAACAATAAATGGCTTAAGTATATCTGAAGCAAGGTACTATTCCACTTAAATGCTGTATTATGAAAACTAAATCACATTTTATTTTTATAAGTGGTGTAGGGTATTATATGTTCGGCCTCGCCCGACTATAATTTCTTACTTGTTTTTTACTTTGAAATTAAGAAAATCGGAAAGCTGTATAGCTCTTCTTCGTCCGACGTATAATAATTAAAACGCTATTAATCCTACAACTGATTTTAGTAGTAGGTATTTGAGATTCGATATCTGAATATTATATTCATTAATATCTACTTTTAGCTTAAGCCAGGTTATTATTTAATAATGTAAAATAAGTTTTAGCCGCAGTTCTTTTCAATGTTATTAAAAACAGTTAGATTGCAATTTAATTGCTCTCCTATATAAATATTTTACAATTCCAATTACATACTTTGTCTATATGTGAACATTTGTTTAGTTGTATTGCAATTTAATGGGAAATTTAAAGCTGTACATTATGGAAAAATGCAATAATATTACATATTTACTGTAAAATATTAAAATAAAATTATATTTTATAGCCAATAAACTCTGAAATGGTTTACTAATTAAATCAGAAGTTGTAAAGAGTTAATTCTTCTGCCAAGATTTTCCAATACTACACAATGATGATAATCAGTCATACATTTTAAGGTACATTTTAAAATTTGAAATTTTCAACTTAATGGGTTTTTAAATTAATTGTTTTCTTTTTATCGTATATAAGTTATTAAAGGGAAATTTGGTCTGATTATTACCAATTGCAATGAAAAAGAAATTTCTATTTGAAACCTAATATCAGCTAAAGTATCAGATATCCATTAGTTACCATTGATAAATATTTTGTAACAATTTATATTGCAAATGTACCGCAATATTTACAATACATATATTTAAGACAAATATTGACATATGGCGAAAAATTACTTTACAACTAATAATCACTATATTACAATTTTCTATGACAACTTTAATATAAATATTTCAGTATATTATTTAGTGGGTGTGCCAAAAGTAATCCTTTTTTAATCATATTTATAAAATCCTCACGAATACATTCCTTAATTCCACTGCTTAAATATGCATTTATTTTCATACTCATATTAGCACTCTTACACACACTGATTAGTAAATACGATGGCAAAAAAAAAAAAAAAAACGTAAAATTTGAATTAAAAACATTTTTCAATTTGTTTAAATACCTTTTCTAAGCATCCCTCGCGGCATTGCTGGACACGTATCGTTGTGGCTTGCTGCTTTTGCTGTTGATGCTGCTGCTGCTGTTGTAGTTGTTGTTGTTGCTGTTGTGTGGGACTACTTGATGTGAATGTTGCACATAAGGCAATGACCATTAGAAGGGTTAAAATTTGTTGATTTGTTAAAAACATTTTAAAGCTTAATTTAAAGCTTCTTGTTGTTTTCGCAAACCACTTCATTTTATTTGAATATTTTATTGCAAAAAAAGGGGAATTTGTTATAAACAAATTTAATTTGAGGTATTTTCCCTAAGGATTAGTATAATTATTTTCTTTTTTTTTGGCGTTATTATTTAATTAAATGTTTTAAGCATATTCTTTAGCTACACAAAATTTTTTAATTTAATAAATTTATTATTATTATTTTCATTTAAAATTTAAGGAAATTTATGCAAAAACCTTTTTATATGGGTTACAAATATTTATTTGTTATGATTTATAGCTCTATATGTAAATTTTTTATTTTGCAAACAAAAAATTTTTTTCTACTAGCACAAATTTTTAATATTGAATACTTTTTGGCCTAGATGACTTTTAGCTGCAAACATATTTTAATGAATTTTATGGCTGACAAAAATTCAATGCAATTTTTTTTGTTTTAAATTTATATAAAATCAATTTTTATTTATATATTTTGTTTTAAATTCTTTTTTTTATATCTGTATGAGTGTTATACCGACGGAGTTTTAAAAATCTTATACACACGCACAGTTTAAAAACAACCGAAACCTCAGGGAGTCTACACTAAACTGTGTTTTGCAGAAATTTTCTACATAAACCCATAAAAAGAGACCAATTTCATTAGAGCATTACTGAACAAACTACACAAAGCATACACACAGATAGAAAGCATACATCCAGTCAGTCAAGCAGTCAGTGAGACAAGCAGTCAGCCAGGCTGCCAAATCGACAGACAGCCAGTTATCCATGCAGCCAGCCAGCCATTCACACAATGTAACCAACAGAAGATACTTTTTTTCCATTCCGGGCATGCGACATAACAATACGACGAAAGCCTTTTTTCCCCAAAAAAATCCAACAAAAACAGAAAGAAAACATAAGAAAATGCTCTCCTCGGTCAGGTGTATAAACCCAGCTACGCTTATTGGATTGTGCTGGGAGAGACCCAAACAGACGAATCCATCCATATACGAATCCAATTCAACATAAACAACCACTCTGGGAGAACTAGTGGAGATTTACAGGAATTGTGAGAACAGCAACAAAAGCTACTAAAATAATACTCACTGGCAAAATAACCTTCGCTGAGGTTAAGTGAAGTTAGTTGTGTGTGTTTGTTGTTGTAGCCCTTTTTTGGAAAATAGGCCTGTTTGTTCTAGATACAGTTTAATGAGATAGATGTCTGCAAATAGATATAGATAGATGTTTATCCCCCACACAAAAATATCTATCAAAACAATTTACAGACTGGCTGCAAAGTAAACACAGCGCACACGCCAAAGCAACACGGACAAGTTGCAGGGGCAAGCATTCCGAGTTCCAACAAGAATTATCACACTGGTCTGATTAAACTACCCCTGTCTAATTCGAATACAACCATTAGCAACTCATACTTGTTGGTAACAAACCATAAAACCAATTCGAATACAACTCTGTAATGCAATTTAACCAACAAGTTCTAGTTGGAAGTAAACAAGTTGGATTATTAATTCCTTCAAACGCCGCTATTTAAAAAGCGCCACTTTACAACAGCACAAAAATGCTTTCAAGATATTTCAAAATAGACCAACGAACGACATTCATCATTGTTGTGTGAGGATGTATTTGCCGGTTGGTTTTTCTCCACCAATGTTGTAAACATGGAATTTCCTTTACGTTCTTTAGGCTTTTTATAGCAATTGTTTAGCAAAGTAAATGTTTTGCCCACTCGTGACTAGAGGGCATTTAGGAAAACTTGAAAAAAAAAAAAAATAATAATTTTCATATTCTTTTGTCGTTGTTGGCTGTTTTAGAGAGATATGGATAATTTTAGCCAAAACCTTTTCCTCTTGGCCAGAATTTAACTTTAAGAACACCAAACAAACTCCTGTTGTAGTAATAATATTTGTATAAAAATATTGTCGATCTGTTTTTGTTATAGTCGTTTGTCGTCCGTCGTTTGTTAAACATTTTGTTGTATTTTGCCTCATTATCTACCACTTGACTTTCTTTATCTTTAACTAAGCAAGAAATAAATTTATGACCTGTGCTTTGTCTTCAACTGGTTAAGATGTAAATTCACTTTGTTTGGGTTTTTAGTTAGTTTTCTTCTCGTTTTGTTTCTTATTCTTTATTTTACAACTGGGTTTACACGTGTGCAGGAATTTTAATGTTTACAATCTGAAAAATTTGCATATTATCTAAAGTACAGAAGAAAAAAAATTGTACGACTAAAGATGTACAACAACAAGCTGTAATAGAAAAATGGAAAAATGAGAAAAAACGATTTCATATTTTCTAAATTTTTATCTCAACATATTAAAAATATAATACAGTAGCCTTTTTCTGTTTGTGTTTTTGGTCTATATTAGATTTGAATGGTTTCAAATGGAATGGGTTGCCAGTCTAGGAGGTTTTATAGACAAAGAGAGAGATGAGACAGATAAGCCTTAAAATATACAAAAATATCAGGAGAAATTATATGTTACATTATAAATTCCTTGCAAAAGGATTCATATTTTTGATAGTTCTGAAGGCTTAGTTAGTCATTTTGTTTGGGATTTGAACCCCAACTACAGTATTGACACTCATTTAAAATAAAAAAACAATTCATTAGTTGATCGGCATCGTTGTAACTTTTAAAACGATGGCAGATCAACTCGCACTAAGAGAGGCATTAACACTTCTCCTTATACTTAACTAGTATATATGTATATACCTAAGCAGTCTTTCTGCTTGACTCTGGTATTCAGACTGCAAAATGTTAACTACCGACGGCATTAGTATTATTTAAAGTTTAATTCTAGTAAAGAACTATTTATTTCTAGTTTTAGTTAAGTTCTAGTTCAGTTCTAGTTCAGTTCTAGTTCAGTTCTAGTTCAGTTCTAGTTCAGTTCTAGTTCAGTTCTAGTTCAGTTCTAGTTCAGTTCTAGTTCAGTTCTAGTTCAGTTCTAGTTCAGTTCTAGTTCAGTTCTAGTTCAGTTCTAGTTCAGTTCTAGTTCAGTTCTAGTTCAGTTCTAGTTCAGTTCTAGTTCAGTTCTAGTTCAGTTCTACTTCAGTTCCAGTTCAGTTCTAGTTCAGTTCTAGTTCAGTTCTAGTTCAGTTCCAGTTCAGTTATTTGTTAGTGTAAAGAATCTGAGTCAAATTTAATCTTATTAATTAAAGTAAATTTAAGAAATCTGTAAGATCAGATACTTTCACATGTATTTCAAAATTTCAACTTTGGCAACCCTGCACTAGCAACATTTGCGTTTCGTTCCCAATAAAAGGTTAATCTATTTCTCAAAGATTTATTATCAATAGTTTTGCATATTTAATTTTTTAATCTGAATTTAGCTTCTTTTATTATTTATGTTTATAGGTATTGTATATGTATTCAATAACTAAACCAACAAAACCATTGTTTTTGTTTTAAGGTTTTGTATGCTAAGTTTTGTATTCAAAGATCTAAGATTTCAAATCCACGAATTAAACAAACGAGCAACCAAACAACCTGTGTTCACTTTTAATATGTATTAGTTTTACAACAATGTGTTTATTTCCGTTAAATAAATAAATAAATTTAAAGTTTATTGTCTACTTAATGTTGTATTTTTGTTCACAAATGTTTGTTTGTTGAAATTTGTGAGATTTGCTTTTGTTGTCGTTTTATTTTTGTAAATCTTTTTCTTCTATTTATTGATTAATTGGTAATAATTAATTTTCAATTTATGCCGGTCTACAAATTTTATAACATTTTTTGTTTTCTTTTTTTTTTAATTTTAAAATAAAGAACATCTTTATAAGGCTTTATAAAATTATCTTCAAGTTGCTGTTGATACTAGACAGCCAGTAGTAAATGTTGTTGATCTTCTTCTGTTGCTGGTTCAATATTTCACTTTTTTTATTTTCTTATGTTGAAATTTTTATATGTTTTTGGGCCATAAATTAATCAACTTGAATTCAATACCAAAAAAAAAGAAGTCGTTTTCTGTCTTCTCTATACATATTTCGTACAGATTTGCTTTTACGATTTACTAACGAGTTTCATGTTGTACTACTGTTTTATTTTAAATTTGTTGAAAATACCGCATTTAGATACACACTGACACCAAAATCTACTGCTGCCAGTAACTATAAAATGTCTAATGAATGTAGTGTCATAGAAATTCCCCTTAAATAACATTATTATTTGTGATATTGATCTTAATTAATAAATCAATAAAGTTTCGATTTATGTGACTGTTTTAGGTTTTTTTTAACATTTTCATTTTGAGTAATCACTTTTTTAAGGCAGGTTTTTTTCTATTATATTTTGGTAACAGTACTTCTTGGACTAGTTGCAGACAGTTTTATACTTCTAGATCTAGATGTAATGATTGTCGTCTTATCGTCTAGTTGTGCTTTTTAATTAGTACTAAATGCATTTTCTAATGAGTGTTATCATTTTGTTGGAGTAGCTTTAAACTTTTAACTGAATATTTCTATAATAAAAACCAAATATATATATGCAAGATATATCAAATAGTTTTATTTTTCAAAGAAAACAATTTTATATTGACAAAAGCATATCATAACACTTGACACTTGCATTTTTATTGTATGTAAATTTATTTATATTTCTTGGAAATTTTTTCCTTTGCTTTAGTTGTTGTTGAAATAAAATATCAAAGTTCAAGTGTGTATTTGTAAACATAAAAATAACTAAAATTTTTGCTATAACATCTATAGACAATAATAAAAATTGTATCTTGATAAAACGATATCCAATCGACACCAACAACTGTCTCCCTCAACAATACCGTCCGAACTCGATTACACAAGAATCTGAGTCTTTGGGTGTGTTTTGTTTGTTTATTTTTTATTCTGTTCAGAAACTGATTTCAAACAGGTGGGAATTCTATCAATACAGGTGACATGCGATTCTATAACTAAACAAAGATAGAATTTCCAGCAACAACAAGGCTGAATGGAAAAATACATCCGTACTCGATTATATAAACAAAACTGGCAAAAAGAAGTCAATTACAGAAAATACAAAATATGTACAAATAAATAAATAAACAGAAAAATATTTTTGTGTAGGTTGTGCTGTTTGTCTGTATGTTATCGACATGAAACATAAAATAGAGCCTTCAAGGATTTTACCGTTGTTGTCGGTGATGTTGTTGATGATTTTGATGATGATTTTGCAACAAACAATTTTGGGTTAAACATACTTAGACTTTGGGTTAGACGTTTTACATTGTTACAAAGAACATATCTTATGTAATATTATAATTACGAAGTCAGTCAGAAAATTTTATTAAACTTCACAAAGTACAATTTTTTAAACAAATCTAGGCTATAACTAGACTATGAGTAGACTATGACTAGACTATGACTAGACTATGACTAGACTATGACTAGACTATGACTAGACTATGACTAGACTATGACTAGACTATGACTAGACTATGACTAGACTATGACTAGACTATGACTAGACTATGACTAGACTATGACTAGACTATGACTAGACTATGACTAGACTATGACTAGACTATGACTAGACTATGACTAGACTATGACTAGACTATGACTAGACTATGAC